TGAAACGTGCACCAATGGGTTAACAAAGTTCAATATTTGTTTTTCGATTTTGATATAAAAGCAGGCGAAAGAAAGGAAGTCAGACATTACTCATCAATATTGTAAAGCTTATATAATACCAGATTTATCAGACCGAACGGATGAGGATGTTTGAACACCGACCGACTCTTGTATCAGTTTCAGAATTTTTCGATATTCTGCGAAAAATAGATTTTCTCCCTTTTTCATGAATACTTAACTAAGAATACTTAATTAAGAACAGATAATCGGTTTTACGAAAGTATGTAAGAAACTTCAATGAACCGAGGTGACCATAAGATGTAGAACTCGTTAAATCAATTGACTAATTTAGTGGAATTATCCACCAAGTCGTGTACAATATAATTTGCGAAGATTTCGATGAAGTTTTGCGCGAATTCGCCTGAAACTGACAGTAAAATCTATTTTAAAAGTTTCACCAAGAAATTTCATACTATTAGAGGAGTGTTTCTCTTTCTCCAACGCAGAACTTTCGTCAAACGCTATCATTGCCTGCTCAATCGTGCTGAAATTCGTTTTCCTTTTTTTTTTCTTGCCATTGCAGATCTTCGCTATCCCCCCGTATAATTTGCGTTGGTAATACGACTTCCTCTAGAAATTATAATAATTAGGGAAATACAAATTTTCTGCTACCTATAATCAGTTTTTGTAATCGTTGACGATACTTATTTGGTTGAAATTACGTCAACGTTACATTTTCGACGGATATCGTGTTGAGAAAATCATTGATACATCGGAAAACATAGATGAATATTCACGGCACACACCATTGAAACGTGTATCGCGTGAAAAGTAGATACAATGCAGTTACGAAATGCACTTACTTCTTTTTTAAATGCACTCATACTTTTATGTTGCAACACTTTGCACTTGTATTCGTTGCTCTTTGCAGTGTAAAAGTTTTTGTAGAATATTAATCGAACTTTGATCGTCATTTTTAATTTAATCCACTTGACGAAAGAAAATATTAGACTAAGTTCAAAGTCTGATTTGAATTCTTTTGTATTTGGCTCTAATTTGTGCTACAAATGAAAGTTCATATAATTATGGTTTCATGACCGTTTAATTTATTACATGCAAATACATGAACTATGCACAATAATCCCGAAAACTTTCTTTTTAAAACTGACTTTGATATAAGTCTTTTCTAATTTAGGATTTCTCTTTCCTTCGTATCGCATATTTGTTCTGTGATGTAAACGTTGTCGGAAAGTGAAATTGGTCAAAGCAAACTGAATGAATTTCGTTTCATTTTTTTTTTCTTTTTTTTTTTCAGAAAAAGGAACAAGTTTTATCGATGAATATTCTGTTTAATTCTTCGAATCTTGAAAATAAAATGTAAAATCATTCAATCCAAGGTCTAAAGTCCTAGCTTAGTTTGGCCTTCTAGCGACTGACCTTTCTTCTCAAGCGAATTTCTCTTTCATCGGTCATCGTTCTTTTATTATTACAAAATCTTTGAACGGAAAATATATATTTTCGAAGGTAATCAAAATAGCTATTTTAGCTGTCTCTAATGTAGCGTTTAGTTCTGCGATGAATGTATCGTACGCTTCAAAGTGAAAAATATTGAAAGATCAAAATATCTTGAAAAAAGTAGCGTGACTTTGTGATCTTAAAATCGGAATTAAAGTTTTAATGAAATAAAGCTGAATAAGCTGGATAGAGCTGTAGAAATACAGCTTTGTTTGTTCACACGTTGTAGGAAGTTGTTTTACTGATTTTAAGATGATCGTATTGAGCAAGCGTATGTTCGACTTCTTTTTTAATTTCTTATGTAATATTGTTATTTCATAATTACGTATACTATATTTATCAATCAATAAGGAACTGAATTCATAATACATCATTAAAATAAAG